AACTGCCAAGTTGACAAGGGGTGGACTGTGGTAGTTGGAGCTGTGTGTCAACTTGGCTGGACCCCAGTTCTGTGTGGTTGTTCCCATGATGGGATCAGATGACTGTGTTCTGAGTGACCAGTCTGCCCAAGGGGAGTTTCCCTAGGGGTGTGGCCTGCTTCCAAGATATCCAGGGATATCCTGGGAAGAGAGACATTCTTTGAGGGATTGGAACCCTGGTGTGTGGACTACAAACTTCCGTGAGTGAGCAACCCACTGCTCGGCCTGGAGATCTTGGATTCATCTTTCGTTGGAGTCAACAACCAGTGCACTGCCTGCCAGCCTTGAATTTCTCGGCCCCCTGCGCTTACGAAAGCTAAGGCTGCCGCCAGCCCATTTCCTCCAGAGACTTTGAACTTGCCGGCTTCTATATGTTTGTGAGCCATTTTCCTAAGATAAGTTTCTCTCTCTTTCTCTCTCTCTCTCTCTCTATACGCTTTGTTGGTTTTTGTGTTTCTCTAGAGAACCCAATCTAACACAGTAGTTATTGCCCAAGACATTTTAATCCACAGGAAAATAACAAGAAGATCTCAGGCAAAGTACTTATTGTAACCCATGGCCAGCATTTTTTCTTGTTATCTTTATTTTATTGCTTTGTATTCAGAGTATGAAAGTATCCCTTTGGGATATTAGGCCATTTGTGAATTCTTCCCAAGTGGCATGATGGGACTTGGTATTTTTTGGGTGCTAGGCGTTGTGCTTACCAGATACAGCCATATGGCCTGGGATGGAGTGTCCTATTGTGATCAAGCTTCTTACTTAAGTAGCCCCTGTTGGCTTGTGAGCCTTTCATTTCCTTCATGAACTAGGAGGTCCACTTTCACACTGAGTCATACTTGTAAGCTGCTGTAATTCTCATGAGATGCTCATGCCACAGGCTTTGACATTATTGACCCAAAGAGGAAGTATCTTGGCTGTGCTTTTGCAATAGGTCTTGTGGTGCCCCATTCCTGTGCGTGGTGGGTGGATTATGGTCCCATCTACAGGGCCTATTGGAAGAGTATTGGATGAATCCTGGCATCTCCATACAAACATATCTGGAATTGTCTTAGGGAATGGGATAACTGTGTTCACTTGGCCTTGTAGATATTAAAACCCCAAATGGTGAGGTTACTGCCAAGTTTGCATTTAGAAGGAAATCCAAAGTACCCACTCACTCAGATGCTTTGCTCTGGATGGCAAGAACCTGAGCTTTTGGATCAAACTGTTGCTGTTTTGAATAGAAGGGCAATAGGTAGGCTGATAGTTCTGGAGTCTTGTTCTTCAAAGGCAGGGGGTGGAGCTTTAAGAAGGGAAACCGGGAAGCAGAATGGGAAGGATGCATCATATGCCAGATGGGTGGACAAGGAGAGCTCAGAGCTCAGGGTGAGGCTGGAGAACAAAGAGGAAAATTCCCAGTGCACAGAACTACGCACAAAGAGATGGCAGTAGGTGGAGGAGCCTATGTGCATCAGAGGGAGGAGGGCTAGGATAGTTCATCACCTTCTTCTGTGTCTTGAGGCTGTCTAGTGGGAGTATGGTTTAGCGTTCATCTATTTTAGGCAAATGCTGCATTAGGCAAGTTTGGGACTATTACATGACCATGACCTCTTCCCAAACCCATTGCCATCAGGTCAATTCTGACTCATGGTGACCCTATAGGACAGAGTAGAACTGCTCCATAGGGTTTCCAAGGCTGCTAATCTTTATAGAAGCAGACTGCCCCATCTTTTTCCTGTGGAGTGGCTTGTGGGTTTGAACTGCCAATCTTTTGGTTAGCAGGTAAATTCTTTAACCTCTACGCCACCAGAGCAAAGCATCTTCTAATGGGCAGTGGGCCACATCATTCCACTGTTCTCCTCCCTCAACCAGCTGATTACAGAAGGTGTGAACTTCTGAGCCAAGTGGGGAAAGGGAGGCTCATCACTGTGTTAAACTCAGCTTTTTAAGAATTTAAATTGAGATTCAGAGAAAAGTTCTGGTTGGTGGTGGGCTTGTAAGATGAGCACACAGAAGGAACAGGTTAAGAAGGAGAGAGGAACGGACCAGGCATATAGGGATACCTATGGTGTTCCAATTCCTGGTTCCAATTTACATGAGGCCTGAGCACACTTTGTTTCCTGTCCTTGGGTGTTCTGAACTATTTGCAGCCTTGCAGTAATGCCTCCTCTTCCCATGTGTTGATTTAGGGGGCTCCTTGTCCTGGCAACCACTGACTAGAACAGATTTTGAGCATGATCAGTTTCCTAGCTACTAAATGCAGACTGAGGCCTGATGAACCACCCAGCAGGCCAGGGTGACTCTACAGTTGGATGTGTGTTTGGGGACATTAAATCACTAGAGATAAACAGAGCCCATAACCCTGTTGTCTTTCCCATCTTAGTTCCTTGGCCGTTCTCTATCTCTTGGCCCCAGCTGCTGAGAGAGATTACTAGATGAAACCAAGAAACTGCTTCTTGCACTAGGACTCTGAGCCCAGAACCTCTTTCTCATGAATCCCTCTCACCCCCGCTCCCAGCACAGCATGCCTCCTGCTTCCTTTTTCCTACCTCTGCCACCCTGTGGAATTCTCCAGTCTCCTTTGACTTCCTGAGGAACCCATGTAGAACATTAATTCCTGTGGCAGTCTCTTTCTCTCTCTCTAGTGGGTGCTAGGGGTCAGGGAGCAGCTTTCTGCAAGGACGTCTAAGTCTCCTCTCTCAGGAAGCCCCCTAATTCTCTTACCAGCTTTTTGGGCAAAGCTCTGCATAGCTCCAGGGTCTTCCTATATTTAGTCTGTGACAGTGTGTGGAGATAATGAGATAGGGACACAGGGGTGAGAAAGCGGTAGGGAGCCCAGGTCCTCACCTCAGTCACGATGGTGGAAGGGAAGGTGCTGTTGTCATAGATCCAGCCATTGGTGCAGGGCTCTGTGGACCTTGTGATGTTGACTTCCGTGCCGTTGGCAGAGGGTGGTCCCCACTGTGGGGAGGTGAAGCGGAGGCAGGACTCAGGCTGCCCCTGCTCGTCCCGGGGCAGCCAGGCCTCCAGACCCCCTTCCTTGCTGAGGTTGGTGTTAGCAGGAGGGCGGCAGTGGTGGGTGGGGATGGCAGCAGTGAAATTCTGCAGAGTATGGTGCACAAGTATCAGGAAAAACGGGATGATTGCCAGAGTGACCTGGATCTGCTGGAAGCGACCAAAACCTCCCACCTGCTTCAGGAGGTCATTGAAGGCCATGGGGTCAGATTTTGCAAGGTCAGCTGGGGCTGAGGTCTCCTCCTCTTGTGACCTACTTACTTTCTGTTTTTTGATGCACTGGCAGGGAGAGTGGCCGCCTTTGTCTTCTCAGCTCATCAGTTTCTGGGTCTGCTGTACCCTAGGCCTCCTGATTGTCAGCAAGAGTTCTTATAACTTCCTGGGAGGAACCAAGTTAAACTGTGACTTGAGGGTGAGATATTTAATCATTAAGATCCTTCAGGCCATTTGACAAAAGGCCAAAACTCAGTAAATGGGGAAGAGAGAGTCTCTTTAATAAATGGTTCTGGCAAAACTGGATATCCATTTTCAGAAAAATGAAACAAGACTGTATCTCACACCATATACAAAAACGAACTCAGGTTGGATCAAAGACCTGAACATAAAACCTAAAACCATAAAGACCATCAAAGAAAAAATAAGGACCAACTTAAGGGCCCTAATTCAGGACATAAAAACACTGCTACATGTAACTAAAAACGCACAAAACAGCATGTGAACTGCTGCATGGAAAATGAATTTGCTCTGTAAACTTTCACCCAAATCACAATTAAAAAAAAAAAAAAGGCACAAACACCAGAAGACATATTCAATGACTGGGAACGCAAACGAACGCATCCATTGCCGTGGAGTTGGATCCGACTCATAGCGACACTTCCTTGGGTTTCCGAGGCCGTATCACTATGGAAGTAGATTCCCCAATCTTCCTTCTGGGGAGTGACTGCTGGGTTTGAACCATCAGCTTTGTGGTTAGCAGTCAAATGCCTTAGGGACCTCCTAAAAATTAGACACTTGCGTGCATCAAAAGATTTTGGCAAAAGAGTAAAAAGAGAACCATCCTACAGACTGGGGAAAATATTTTGGCAATGATATATCAGACAAGGGACTAATCTCTAAAATGTGTAGAAACTTTTAACACTCTGACAGCAGAAAGACAAATAATCTAATATGAAATGGGCAGAGGACGTGAACATACACTTCTCCAAAGAAGACATCAGGCAGGTAACAAGCACATGAAGAAATGCTTGTGATCAGTAGGCATTACAGAGATGGAAATCAAAACAACGAGATATCATCTCGCCCTAGCCCCAATAGCAACATTTCATAAAACAGAAAGCAACAAATGCTGGTGAGGGTATGGAGAAACTGGAGCCCTCATATGCTGCTGGTGGGACTGTAAAATGGTACGAGCATCATGGAAAAGGGTGTGGCACTTCCTTAAAAAGCTGAAAAAAGGAATGCCTACCATTTGATCCAGCAATCCCACTCCTAGCTGTATATCCTACAGAAATAAGAGCCATGACATGAACAGACATGTGCACACTCATGCTCATCGCAGCACTATTCACAATAGCAAAAACACAAAAACAACCCAAGTGTCTATCAGTGGAGGAACGGATCAACAAACTATGCTGTGCACACACATTGGAATATTATGCAGCGTTAAAGAATGATGCTGAATTCGCAAAACATCTCATCATGTGGATGAACTGGGAGGCCATTATGGTGAGTGAAAAGGACAAATATTGCATGAGACTACCATTGTAAAAAGTCAAGGAAAGGGTTTCACACACATAAAAAAGGATAAAGAAATACTCTTTAATGGTTACCAGGGGTGGGTGGGGAAGAGAGGATAAACCACTAACTAGAGGGTAGACACATATTAACTTGGGTGAAAGAAAAGTCAAAAGAAAGAAAAAAGGAGGGGCCCCAAATTACTGGAAACCCATGAAACAAAGTATTATGGAAAAAAAAAAAGACAGACCGGTGAATTACTCAGGACCGTCTAAAGAGCAGGGGAATTTGGGTCAGGTAGAGTCTCCCTACTGGGCCAGGACAGATAGCTTCCTCCTTGGGGAAGAAGGGAAAGTGCTATGGGCATTGGGGAGGCCTAGTGTGGTGTGAGTATGAAGCCTGAGCTGGGGTCCCTTCTCCATGCCAGGTCCTACCACGCTGAACCAGACTGATTTGGGGAAAGACTCTGAAGAGCCCCCAGGTACCTCCCAGCAAGAGTCTGAGCACGCTGGGGTTGGAGGGCTCTGAGGCAGGAGTAGGGGAAGTGACTGGCCCCAAGACCCCCAGGTCTGCACAGGCAGGACTAGATCCACCTGCCCCATCTCCCAGTCCTAGTCCTGTCCCCTTGCTCCACGCTGGTGAAGATGCCATCCTGGGTGTCTGATGTTGGCCATAAGGAAGGACAGTGCTGTTTGAGAAGTTGTAGCAGGGGTGGGGCTGGTGGCTTTTGGGCATCAAGTGGGTCCTAAGATGGCCAGAAAATTCTTGGAATGCCTGTGGGAGTGTGAGCATCCTTGGGGAACATCAGGGCTCTAGATGTTCCAGGAGATGGGGTAGGTGTGGTGATAACAGCTTAGCACAGGTTTGTCCTGGGAGTTAGGGACCTGCTGCCTGAACTGCTGTGAGCTCCCCCAAGGTCTTGCAGCTTTTTCAGGGAAGTTTCAGGCCACCTCCCTCACCAGGTTGCCCTGACTCAGTTGAAGTCCGAGGGTCTCATCTGGAAGGCAGTGTGGGCAGCTTGAGGGATGTGGACTCTTCCCAGGGGGATGAAGGGCTGAGGGGCAGTTTCACTTGCAGAGGGAAGGGCAATGAGCCGTCAAGCCTGGCTGAGCAAGCATGTCAACCGCAGGGCACGGCAGGCGCCTCACTCCTGCCAGCTGTAGGTGCTAATAGGGCAGTCTGGTCTCATATCTTCGCAGGCTTCCATGAAGTGAGTTCTATGCTGGCACAGGTGGCTGGACATCCTGATCTCTTCCTGGTGGTAACCCCTAAACTGTCTTCCATCCTCCTTTTCATAAGAGTTTCTCCTGTGGTCCCTTTCCTCCTGTCCTTCCCCCTTTTTAGCCCAGAGGGAGGAGAAGAAGCTGAGACTGTGGGTGGAAGAGGGTAAAGTCTCAGTGCCTCCCAGCTCCTGGACAGTAGAGGGGTCAAGCACACACATTCTGGAGCCAGACGGTCTGGATTTCCTTCCTGACTGCACAATTTACCAGCTGTGAGAACTTGAAAAATTTCCTTAACCCCTCTGTGCCTTGATTTCCTTATCTGTAAAATGGGAATAGTGCTAGTAACCACAGGGTTACTCGAAGAATTAAATGAGCTTTAGCGGTTCAGTGGTAGAATTCTCGCCTTCCATGCTGGACATCCGGCTTTGATTCCTGGCCAACGCATCTCAAGTGTTGCCCCCACCCATCTGTCTGCAATCCATGCCATGATGCTGAACCGGTTTCAGGGGGGCTTCCAGACTAAGACAGAGTAGGAAGAAAGACCTGGTGGTCTACTTCTGAAAATCAGCCTGTGAAATGCTATGGATCACAACATTCTGATCCGATTGTGCACGGGGTCACCGTGAGTTGAGCAGATCTTTGACAGCAGCTAACAACACATGTTCAAACCCACCAGCCCCTCCTTGGAAGGAAGGTTGGGTAATCTACTTCCGTAGTGATACTGCCTTGGAAACCCAAGGAGGGGTCACTATGAGTCGGGTCCGACTCCACGGCATATAACAACAACAACAACAACAACATATGTGACGTGCTCAGGACAGAGCCTGGTGTATAATTAGCACTCCATGCTGGCTTTCTCTGGCTGTGTCCTACCCTCCTCATTTTGTCCCTTCTGTGTCCAGAAACCTGCAGGAGGTACAGTAACAGAGAAAGCTCAGGAAGGGTGGTAGGAAGGATTAGATTAGCTATCAGGCTGGAGTCCCTGCGTGGCCAAATGGTTAAGAACTTGACTACCAGCCAGGTGGTTGGCAGTTCCATCCGGAGGTGCTGCAGAAGGCAGGCCTGGGGATCTCCTGAAAGACCACACCCTTGAAAACCCCACGGAGCAGATCTGTCCTGCGCACAAGGGGTGGCTGGGAGTTAGCATTGACTCCATGGCCAGTAACGACAGGAACATGGGCTGAGCTTCCAGCTGTGGGGCCGGAAGTGGCAAACTGAGTGCACACTCTGCTGGGATCCGAGGGAGCAGAGGCCAGCATCCTGATGCCACAGCTGGTGTCCTTATTCTCTTCCTTTGCTGCCAGAGGTTCCCATCTGCTCTTACAGAGGGGGCGGAACCTCAAACAAAGCCACTGATTGGCTGCTTTCATTGTAGTCTCTTCTCAATTTCCTGCCTACCAGGGAAAGGGAGTGGCATGAGGTGCTTAAGTAAAATTTATAGAACTATGGGAGCTCTGGTAGTGCAGTGCCTAAGGCACTTGATTGCTAACCAGAAGGCTGGTGGTTCAAACCTACCAGCGACTCCTCGTAAGGAAGATGGGGCAATCTACTTCCGAAGTGATACTGCCTTGGAAACCCAAGGAGGGGTCGCTATGAGTTGGGTCTGACTGGATGGCACATAACAACAACAACAACGTGGGCTACTAATCATAAGGTTGGTGGTTGTGATGATCCAATGTACACAGTAGCCCCAGGAAGGAGCACTCGGACCTTGAGGCACAAAACCCAAAGATGCTGAGAATACAGCCAGAAATGTTCCAGGGAGGCCAGTGTAAGGTTGGGTTGCCGATGCCGAGAGAAACCAGGCCAGAAAAATAGAAAAACTAAAAAGCCGAACTCACAGCTGTCAAGTTGGACAGACTCATAGCGATCCCTCCTTGGGTTGGGTTTCCGAGGCAGTATCTCTAAGGAAGTAGATTGCCCAGTCTTCCTTCCAAGGAGTGGCTGGTGGGTTTGAACCTCTAGCCTTCTGGTTAGCAATCAGATGCCTTACGCACTAGGCCACCAGAGCTCCCAGATAGAAAAGGAGAGTTTATTTAAGAGACACAAGCATCAAAGCAAATGCGCTGACTCTCCACGCTAGAGAGACCAACCTGCAATTGTCTGAGTTAGGTTCTTTTTTTTATTCTTCTCTCTGAACTCCTCACTTCTTTGTCTTGTTTAAGATGTCATAAGGTTTAATCAGCCAAATCCCACTATTGGCTCGTTCCTTCCTTTCAGTCAGTTTGTTTCTTCCTTGTGGTTATGGTGCCCCATAAGATAACTTTTTACAGGAGTCAGACAGTAGTCATTAACTATTTTCAGAAGTCTGATAGTCTGGAATTTTGGTTTTTTGTAACATTCCATTTTGGCTGAGTGTGAGGTTTGATTTAATTAACCTAACCCTTTAATTGTGAGGTTTGATTTTATTAACCTTTCATTCCCTCCTCTTTCATGTTGTATAAAAATTTATCTAAATTTGTGTTACTGGAGATGTTGAGGAATGTTGTTTCTTTCTGCTGTAACTGCTTCCCACTGGTATAGGACATAGAACTGTCCCTGTGTTTCATGTTGAGATATCGGTTGATAATGGGCTGGTTGTAAGAGGAGGATTTTTTTTTTTTTTTATTGAATTGTTGGTTATTGCTTTAATAGGATCTTGTGGAAGTTTCATAAAACTTTTGAATAGATAGAGCCCAAACATTAGTGTTAAGAATATAGACATGAGAGGGCCCGATAAAGGCTGTCGTTTGAACAGAACAAATGGACACTGCATGGTTTAAAATCAAGAAGGAAGTGTGTCAGGGTTGTATATTTTCACCATACTTATTCAATCTGTATGCTGAGCAAATAATCTGAGAAGCTGGACTATATGAAAAAGAATGTGGTATCAGGATTGGAGGAAGAATCATTCACAACCTGCCATACGCTGATGACACAACTTTGCTTGGTGAAAGTGAGGATGACTTGAAGCACTTACTGATGAAGATTGAAGTCTGCAGTATAGATTACATCTCAATATAAAGAAAACAAAAATCCTCACAACTGGACCTGTAAGCAGCATCACGATGAATGGAGAAAAGATTGAAGCTGTCAAAGACTTCACATTGCTTGGTTCTACAATCGATGCCAATGGAGGCAAGAGTCAGGATATCAGACGATGTATAGCCCTGGGCAAGTCGGCTGTGAGGGATCTCTTTCAAGTGCTGAGAAGCAAAGATGTCTCCTTGAGGACTAAGGTGCGCCTGACACAAGCCGTGATATTTTCAGTTGCCTCGTATGCATGTGAGAGCTGGACAATGAATAAAGAAGACCAAAGAAGAATTGATGCTTTTGCGATGTGGTGCTGGTGAAGAATGCTGACAGTACCATGGACTGCTAAAAGAACTAACAGATCTGTCCTGGAGGAAGTGCAGCCAGAATGTTCCTTGGAAGCAAGAATGACCAGACTTCATGTCACCTACTTTGGTCATGTTGTCAGAAGGGACTATTCTCTGGAGAAGGAGGTCATGCTTGGTAAGGTGGAGGGTCGAAGAAGGAGGGGATGGCCCTTAACAAGATGGACTGACATGGTGGCTGCTGCAACGGGCTCAAGTATAGCAGGGATCGTGGAGTTGGTGTGGGACTGGGCGATGTTTCGTTCTGCTGTGTGTAGGGTCGCTACAAGTCGGACACAACTCAACGGCACCTAACAACAACAACAACGACAACAATAAAGGTAGTAGCCAAGAGAAAGTGGGTATCCATGAGGTTAATGAAGAGGTGACAGAAGGTTTGTTAAATTTGTGAAGCCACTTAGCCTATTTATATATTTTCTGTGCATTGGTCTCCGCCAGTCCTGAATTATTTATAGGTACAACAGATCTTATTGCTGACTGCACAGACTCCTTCTTGATCTGCCAGTAAATAATCTAGATTTATCAAAACAACTTGATGCAACAGCAAGG